GAACTGCTTTCCATGGTCTGTGACAATGGACTCAGGTAGGCCGAACCGAGTGAATATATTTTTCTTGGTGAACTTTCGCACCTGTGCTTCTGTGACAGTGGCCAAAGGCTCCGCCTCAATCCATTTGGAAAAGTAGTCACTGCCACGATCAGGTATTTCATTTGCCCAGGCGCCTTGGGAAAAGGGCCTAACAGGTCCATGCCCCATTGGGCGAAAGGCCAGGCTCCCACATTGCCCTGCATAGGCGCCGCCGGGACATTGATATCATTTGCATGAATTTGGCACTGGTGGCAGGCGCCCACATGGGCCTTCGCGTCCCGTCTCATCGTTGGCCAGTAATAACCTTGTCGCAGCAGTGTTTTTTCCAAACTGCGTGCGCCCGCATGCATTCCACACGTCCCGCCGTGCACCTCTTCAATTGCCCTTCTGCTTTCCTCCTCATCCAGACACCTCAAGTATGCTCCCTAGTGAGACCTTTTGTACAATGTTCCCTCGATTATGGAGCACCGTGCCGCCTTTCGTCGGAGGCGCCAGGCTTCCTTCGGGTCATCCGGCACCGTTCCTTGGGTCAAGAATAGTACGATTGGTGCCCTCCACCCGGAGTCGGAGCCCCCGTTCCCCAAGGTTGCGACCAAATATCGACGAGGCACTTCTGCGGTGACTATGACTTTCCGATCTTCTGCAAATTCCACGGCGGTGGCCAACTTGGAGAGAGCGTCTGCATGGGCATTCTCTTCGCGTGGAATGTGGACAAAGGAGATTTCTCCAAACCAGGCTCCCAATTCCCTGACCCTTTGCACGTATCCTTCCAACGCTTCCTCCTTTACTTCGAATGTCCCGTTAAGTTGGTTGACGACGAGGGCCAAGTCGGACTTGACCTGGACTTTGTGGGCGCCCAGCTCTTTAACCATGGTCATGCCTGCAATCACCGCTTCATACTCTGCAGCATTGTTTGTCTTTAAGGTGGCGAATCGCAGCGCGACCTCGTGCATCGCGCCTCCGGGGCTTCTCATCACAATTCCCACTTCGGCGCCTGTACGGCTGGCCGCTCCATCGACCTGAACTTGCCAGCGGTCGTCTGTCCCATTCTCCGACTCTGCTATACCCTCTGCGACGAAGTCGGCCAAGACCTGGGCCTTGATGGCAGGGCGAGGCGCATACCTGACGTCAAACTCACTTAGCTGGACCGCCCACTTGACAAGGCGCCCGGCCACGTCCATTGACCCCAACGTGGATTTCAGAGGGAGGTTGGTGAGGACTATGATGGTGTGGACCTGAAAATAAGGCCTTAATTTGGTTGCGGCCATCACCACTGCTAGTGCAGCCTTCTCGATGGGCGCGTACCGCCTCTCGTGGGAAACCGTGGTGCGACTAACATAGTACACTGACTTGTCTTCCCCGGAGTGGGCTTCTCTTGCGACCAGCACTGCACTTACCGAGACTTCTGACACTGCAATGTAAAGGTACAGAGGTTCTCCTTCTTTAGGCGCCGTCATTACGGTTGGGGCGCTTAAGAGCTGCTTCAATTCTTCAAACGCCCCGTCACACTCAGTGGTCCATTGGAAACGCGCGGCCTTCTTGAGCGTTCGAAAAAAGGGAGCGGCCTTGTCGGCGGATTGGGGGATAAAGCGCCCCAGCGCTGCCAGCCTGCCCGCTAGGCCTTGCACCTCTTTGGGCGTCTTCGGAGGAGTCAACTTGAGAATGGCATCTACCTGCTTTGGGTTGACTTCTATACCTCTTTTGGTGATCATTAATCCCAGAAACTTTCCCGCTTCGGCGCCGAACACACATTTGAGGGGGTTTAGACGAAGCCTATGCGCTCGCATGGCCTGGAACGTCTCTCGCAAATCTTCGATGTGGTCTTCTCGTTTCCGGCTTTTGACTATGAGGTCGTCCACGTAGGCCTCCACATTTCGGCCGATTTGCTGCCGGAAGACGTTGTTGACCATCCTTTGATACGTGGCGCCCGCGTTTTTGAGTCCGAAGGCCATGACCCGATAACAGAAGTTGCCAAAAGGTGTCATGAAAGCTGTTTTGGGCCGGTCTTCCTCTGCCATGGGGAATTGATGATATCCAGAAAACATGTCTACAAAGCTCAACATCTCGTGGTATGCCGTGGAGTCCACCAGTAAGTCTATCCGGGGCATTGGGTAGGCGTTTGTTGGGCATGCCCTGTTGAGGCTTGTGTAATCCACACACATCCTCCAGTCGCCCGACGGCTTTGGCACAAAGACCACATTCGACAACCAAGTAACATAAGAAGTTTCTTCGACCAAGTTAGCGCCCATCAGCTTGTCCACCTCGACCCTGAGCTCCGCCTCCTTTTCTGGCGACAGGTTTCTGGCGACAGGTTCCTGCGCTTTTGTTGCACGGGGCGCCTGCCTTCCTCGACCGCCAACCTGTGAACGGCCGTTTCGGGTTTGACGCCCGGCATTTCAAATGCACTCCACGCGAATAGCTCTGTGAATTCTCTTACGAGCGCGATGAGTCGTTCCATCATTTCGGCAGACGCCTCTGCCGAGATCCTGACGCATCTTTATGGGCGCCCTTCCTCCAGCGCTATCAATAGTTCTTCGTCGGCAGCCTCCGCTCGCGGGGCCTCATCCCCCACAACTTCCATCACATTGATTCTTGCCTCGCCGTGCCTTCGCTTGCGCCCGGTTTCCTTTGCGTAACGCGGGGCGCCTCGCCCCCGGGCCACGCCCACCCCTTGCGGGGCGATGAACTTCAAGGTTTGGTGACAAGTGGAGGCCACCCCGTTGAATAAGGCTAGGAGGGGCCTTCCAATGATTGCATTGTACGGCGATGGGCAGTCCACTATCCCGAAGTCTATGGCGCGCGTCACCCTTTGCTCCCCATCTCCCAAGGTGACAGGCAGGCACACCCGTCCTATCACTCGGGCAGCGCCCCCGAAAAGCCTACCAGCACGGACTCTGATGGTCTGATCATCTCTGGCGATAGCTGCATGCGAACCACCGTATCCTTGAACAGCACATCCATGGAACTTCCCGTATCGACCAACATTCTCCTCACTCTGCATCCGGCTACTACCCCTTGTATATCCAAGGCGTCCATAGACGGTAGCATACATGCTTCTTTCGGCGCCTTATTAAAGATAATGTCAATCGACTCCTGCACATCTGCCGACGCTGCTCTCAGTCGGCGATTTGCCTCTATCTTCTCTCTCAAATCCATTGTTCCTGAGATGGCTTCGATGGTCAGGCGCACGCGGTCAGGCGCCTTTTCTTGATCCAGGTCGTAGGGTGGGGGAGGCAGCTCCTCCCTTGCCTTCACCGCTCCAGCCACACATGCCCGATGTACTCTTTCTTCAGGCTTCTTAATGAAGTCATTAAGCATTCCTTTGTCTGCCAGACCCTGTAGCTCTGTTTTTAGTTGATAACAATCGGCCGTATAGTGCCCAATTTCACGGTGAAAATCACAGTATTGATCCAAGTTCCGCTCATTGGGTTGTCCCCTAATGGGGCCTGGCCACCTGATGTGGTATCCCTTCTCCGTAACGTGCTGGAGCACGTTCTTTAGAGTGTCGTTGTACTCGGCGAAGTGCCCAGTCCCCCTAGGCGCCTGGCGCCCCATATCACTTCTCCTTGGCGGGGGTTGGCTTGCGGGTGCATAGCCCGAACCACTGGGGGGTGGGGGTACGGCCTCCTTGGTACATCGGCTTCCTCCGCTCTTGACTTTCTCCTATCTACCCTCCTGGCCGCTAGCGTCTCCTCCAGCATAATCACCTTTTGCATTCTGTGATCCAAGTCCTCTGTGGACACCACGTCCCTCTTTGCGAGCGCCCTGCATAGCTCCTCACTGGAGGTGCACTCATTCAGGCACACTCCCAGCACAGACGGCTGGGCGTCCTTTACCGCTAAGGCCACAGATAGCCACCTCTCGTAAAACTCCCTTAACGCTTCTCCCTCCTTCTGCCTGACCTTAAACAGGGCGCCTATGGTCAAGGAGCGCCTTTTCCTGCTGGCAAATTTTGCTAAGAACATCGCTGCGAACTGTTCGAAACAATCGATGCGCCCTTCATCGATCTGATGATACCAATCTAGGACCACGCCTGCAAAGGTGGACGGAAATACCTTGCACAGGGTGGCGTCCGTGCTGTTATAGAGTTGCATTTTGGTGAAATATCCATTAAGGTGGTCCTCGGGGTATCCTGTTCTGTCATAGGCGGGTAGTGGGGGAATGTTTGTTCCTGCGGGCTCCGATAGTATGCAACGTGCCAGAGGCTGCCTCACGGGGCAATGGCGTGATAGGCGTCCCAAGATTCCTCCGTTCCACCCACTGGCGTCCGGCGCCCCATGATCGCGTTGGCGCCATAGGCTGGGGCGCCTCAGACACCCTGATTCACTCTCCATCTCCTCCATCCTTTCCCTTTTTTTTGTCGGGCTGGGCGTCATCCCTTCACTCCTCTTTAGGGCGTCCACTTCCCGCCGCAGCGCCTCGATTGCCTCGTCCTGATCTTCGATGATCCGGAACAATTCTTTTTTCGTGACCGAGGCGCCCTCGGATCCCCGAAACACGCCCTCACTTTCCTCACCCTCTTCCATCTCGGGCGTCTGCCCTCTCATTCGCTCCGATTGTTCCTCCGTGATTTCTTCCCTTTCTTCATTCATCGGCGCCTCTTCACTCATGACTGCTGGCTATATTCCCCTTCCTGGCGCGCCAATTGTTTGTGACACGCTACCCTCGTACGATCCTCTGGAATCCCTTCTCACTAGGCGCCGCTCTGCACACACGAACAAGGAGGGGGCGCCTGGGCCCGTTAATCCTCCGACGCCTAAGTTAGTTTCTTTTCAGAGAGAAGTGTCTCAAACTAGGATTTAGAGAAAGAGAGTCCAACCTGTGTAAATGCTACCAACTGCCCCTATTTATACTCACCAGAGTTCGAGGTTGATCTTCTCTACTTCCCTGCCTTCATTTAATGCTTTGTCCCTTTCTGGTCAGACATCCCAACCACCTTGTCAGACTCCTGGCACGTGACAGGCGCCCGCAGACGCTGGACTACATGACAGTCTGGCCCTCTTTGGCTTCTAGTGTCTTGTCCTTATGTCCCCTCCCTTTTGCTTGGGCCTTGCCCCCCAATTGGGCTGTTTGTGAGCCCACACTGTTGCCCATTGGGTTTTGTTCACAATACCCCCAACACTACCTATACTTTTATATTTTACATTTTGGTACCTAAAATTTATTTTTTGCACGAAAATTATCATTGGAAAATTACGTCTTGGTATCTTCAATTTTACATTATCACATTTTAGTGCCTAAACTTTTCAAATTTACATCTTGGTCTTTTGGAGTCATGGATCAATCCACCAATCCATATCATCCAATCCATTAATCCACCAATCCATTTAAATCCAATCCATTAATCCACCAATCCATTTAATCAAATCCATATAACCCACCAATCCATTTGATCCAATCTACCAATTCATGGATCCAATCTATTTGCCACCTCTAGATTAAACCAATCTTTTAGACCTATTCGTTCTCACGTTTTTTCGTTTCTCAATACCATATTTTCGGTTCAAACATGAGTTGGCTCGACCATTGCGGTGTGCCAGGAAACGAATGCCTGACCTATATCTGTATAGCGGTGGCTTTCGCACATTTTCTCTGTTTAATTGTTACGTCATACATTTAACGGTCAACTATGAAGGGCTTTCTTCTTTCAAAAGTACTGGGTTACCGTTGGTGACGATGTGGTGCAAACTGTGAAGGGCATAATTGAGAGGGTTGAGATGCCCAATGATCTAAACCACACGACCGTAAGAAAGAGATCTTTGAGGAAATAAAGGAAAGAACCAAGGAAAAGCTGAACGGTTGGAAAGAGCGCAAAATTTCTATGGTGGCTCGGGAGGTGTTGATCAAGTCTGTGGCGCAGGCTCAATTCTCGTACGAGATGTCGGTGTTTAAATTTCTTAATGTTACGATTGACGAAGTTCATAGCCTAATTATGAATTTCTAGTGGGGTCAGAAAGGTGAGGAAAGACGAGCCCACAGTCCAAGAAGGGAAGAAATGGTCAGCCCCAAGGAGGAAGATGAAATGGGGTTCAGGGATTTGAAAAAATTCAATAAGGCTATGCGAGCCAAACAACTGTGGAATTTGATGTAGAGATCGGACTCCTTGATAGCAAGAATTCTCAAAGAGAAGTACCATAAGAGGACACCAATTATAGATGCTACTGTTGGTTACCGCCCGAGTTTCATTTGCCGTAGTCTCCTCGCTGCGCAGGACTAAGCACCAGTTTGTTACATCCACACCGATGGGGCTCCCGTTGGATGCATACGTTAAGGAGCCAATAGATCCTGACACAGGTACGTGGGACGATGTTCTGCTGGAGGCCTGCTTTCCTTCGGCTGTAGCAGCTGCCATTCGCCAAATTCCTTTGCGCGGATATGGCGAAGTTGATATGGCACGCGAGTAGTACATGCGCATACACTGTGAAAGAGGGGTATAGGCGTTGGCTCACTGGATTTAAAGCTGAGCATGGAGTAATGGCAGTGGGGGAAGTGAAACTTTGGAAACAACTGTGGCGCCTTGAAGTCCAACTGAAGGTCCGACACTTTATGTGGCACTTTGCCAGGGAGATTGTCCCTACAGGCGTGGTGGTCAGCCACCGAAATCCAAGATGGAGCGAAAACTGCCCCTTTTGTAATCAACGCGAAACTCAGTCCCACTTCTTCTCCGAGTGTGAGTGGACGTCCATAGTTTGGCAAAAAACGGAAGCGCCTGGTTTGTTCGAGGCGAAGGGAAGTAACTCGTATCAAGTGTGGTGTGTGACCGTTTTGGAAATGGGAAAGAAGGAAAAGGTTGAGGAATGGTGTGTACTTCTTTGGTATCTCTGGAATGAGAGGAACACTCATTTATTAGATGGAGCTAAACTGTCCTAAGAGGAGATACCATTGTGTGTAAACCTTTTGCTAGCGGAGTACAAACAACACTAATGGACTGAGGTTATCCCTGACTCCTGCCCAACGAAGAGCCCATGGAGGAAACCGCCTACGGGCTGCACCTATTTCCGCACCGAAGCAAGTCTTCTGGATGGTGGGGGAGCGGGACTTGGGGTGGTGATAAGAGACTCTAATGGAGTTTTCTTGCTGACAGTTGCGAAAAGGATACAAGGGGTGTGGTAGGCGGAGGCAGCAGATGCACTGGAGGCAGAGATGGGGGCACAACTTGCCTATTTCCACTACCACACTATCATCCTTGAGACGAACTGCATGACGTTAACCCACAAACTAGCTTCTTTGGAGACTTTACAGGACGAGATGGGGGTGGTATGTCGAGGGTAAAATACCTAGGGTACCACTTAAGTTTGAGAATTGGGGTAGACATACCACTTAACTTTGAATAGGGCGTTGGGTACCATTAAAGTCACCAAAAGGTGCATCCGTCTAGTTTTCCATCCAACCCAAAAGTTCAACTGCCTTTTGGTACCCAAAACTATTAAAAACATCCAAAACTATATTTCAACAAGTATTAACTAATAATAATTATAAAACCTTCTAAACATAGTATTACTAGAATGACTAATGAATTTTTTCCCGATAAAATAGATAAATTAGTAAAAATAATAAACAAATATAAAAATAGAATAATAAATGTACTAAAAGGTTATAAAAAGATTTAAAATAATTATTAGAATATATATATTTAAACTCCTAATACAATTAAAAGCAACACTAAAAATATATAAATAATTAAACATATTCCAGTAATAAAAAAAATAAAAATATAGCCTATAGGAAGAGAATTATAATTAGTAAATTAACTAATATGGAACATTTATAATTTAATATTAGAGAATTATAAGGAAATTTAACATGAAAAATTTGAAACATCATCATGATGTAAGAGAACTAAATATAACATCCTTAGATTATCTATATTGAGAAAGAATTCATAGGATGTATTTGCTTCAGGAAAAAAATTCAATTATTACAACACATATGATTGAAAATACTTATAATGACAATTGATTCTAAATTTTATATTAAAAAATTGGTTTGGTATTAGAGTATTCACAAGAGTATTCCAACAAAAAATGATGTTTTTTCATCAGTCCAAATGATTATTTACTTTTAGAAAAGTAGAATGACCAATTCTGAAATTTAGAAAACAGAATATTCCAAGAATATTCTGTCAACTTTAACCGAGTGCACTTAACAGTAAACTTAAGTGGTACCACGTGCACATATAATAAAGTTCAGTGGTATCCGAATCAGACGCCCTATTCAAATTTAAGTGGTATGTCTACCCCAATTCTAAAAGTTAAGTGGTAACCAAGGTATTTTACTCGATATGTCAAAGTACTAAAAGACTTTTGAATGCTATGAGAGACAATTCATGGCATTACATCAGCAGAGAGGCAAACGAAGTGGCACACGCCTTAGCTTATACGGATATGCACCGGGACGAGAGAATGATTTGGAAGGAAATTCCACCGACTTTCCTTGTTAACCTGTTACAACAGGATATTGTATTTAGGGGTGTTCAAAGTGGTTACCATGGTAACCGTTTTAACCAGTACTATTTGGATAATTTAGTTTGGTTAATTTGGATAATTGGTTTGGTTTGGTTAATGTTTTTAGCTTGTTTGGTTTAGGTGGTTTGGTTTGGTTTCAGACCCTCCTAACCAGCCAAACCAAATTAACGAGATAAATAATTAGTCATATATCTAATATATACACATACTTAATACTTTGAATAACCACTCAAGAGTTAAACTTTCATCCCTTTTAGACTTATAAAATATAAAGCTTGATATTGCTCCTATAATGTATATTTGTATATATAGAGTGTAGACCACAACATATGAACGCCTAATTTAGATAAATCACATACATTATGTTGGATGAAAACTTGAAAGCAAGGTCCTTTTCAACCTATGAAAATTGATAAAAGACTAAGTCAATTCGAACAAACACAAAAATACATTAACCCATACCATTGTGATAACTTTTTATTAGGTGAATACTTCTATACTAACCGTAAGATAATTGTCTTAGTTGCATGTATTTATGTTAATGGTCAACTATAACTATGTGTTGATAGTTATGTTTTATTCATTATATAAATTGTGAATTGATAAATTAACCGAAATTTTCTCACTTAATGATAATGTAATTTTATATTGGTTAATCTGGTTAACCAATTAACCAAACCGATTAAATTTTAATTTGGTTAATTTGGTTGTTGTATTAGTTTGGATGGTTTGGTTATGATATTGTATTCCATGGTTAAAGAAATTTAGCCTTATTTAATTTGGTAATAACCATGGTAACCATTTGAACACCCTAAGACTAACTTTAGTGGTGGGTTGGAATTCCAAAAAATTGGACTAGAGCCACTTTAATAAGGTTCCAAAAAATTAAAAGTTCCAATTGATCCAAAAATTGGATCCAAATTTGGCCCACAAAAGGACAAAAGTTCCAAAAAAGAGTGTGGCCACATGTGGGAAAAGCAGACGGGTCCACCTGCCAAAAAGAGCTTTAATAATAATAATAATAAGAAACTACTTTATCTTTTAGCACCCACAATCTCCTCCAACGGCTCTTTCGGTCCAAACAAGAGACAGTCATTAATTAAGTCATATTTACAAATAATTTTTTTTGGTCAGAATTCAAAAAAAAAATTGTCGAAATGTTCGACTTAATTAATTAATAGTACCTATATAAAGTTAATGAAATTTTTTGTAATTAGAATGATGAAATATATACAAAACTGGTTTATGAGTTAAAGCATAAATCTGGAAATTTGGACTTTTGGAACACACTATTAATGCCAAAACGCCTTTTGAGGGGCTAGAATTTGAATTATAGTCTTAAATTTTGGACATTTGGACCTAATCACTAAAGATAGTCTAATTGTATTTGCGACAGCTTATTAATAAAGTTTAAACAGATTCTCGTAAAAAAAAGGTCAACTATGAAATTTACCATTAACTAGTACTCGGCCCGCGCTCCGCTGCGGGGTAAGATTGATTCCAGAAATTAACAAACATATTAACAAACTTTGTGCTCACCGCACATATACATCTGCCATATTTTTGTCTTCATTCAAAATAGGGGAAAAAAACTTGAGTATCTGATGCCTTCGACTAAATGTGAAAACATAAACACATTAGCCATAGTTTTGTCTTCGCTGAAAATAGGGAACAGAAACTTTAGTCTAGAATGGATAATTCTGGGGGTGGATGGGATACTTTGTCTGGTCTTTCTGTCAGTAGTGCTGCAGGTTACTTATCTATCCTTGAGGTGTGCCAAAGGGTAGCCACTCTTATATGGGATACGGCTGTTCTGGTTCTGTTCTTCAGATCTGAGGAACCGATGTAGAGCTCTCCTGCAAACATTCTGCTACATCTTTTGACCAGTAACGCCTTGGCTGATTCTGCATCGAGTTTTTTGTATTTGCTGGGTGACATTCCCATTATTGATAGTGTAGCCTCATGGTCCAGTATGACATCAAGACTATCATCTCCTTGCTTGCACTTGACTTCCAACTCATAGTGCAGCCTAGTCATAAGTATAAATTCAGAAATTTGTTGGCTTATTCGTAGATAGATTGATTCACATGAGATGTAATTGTCGTCTTGAAATATAAAACTTACTCTGGCCAGTCCTCAGTCGCTTGACATATGGCTTTTCGAAATTTCATATGTGAGATGGAGAACTTAACACGATAGAGCACCTAGCATGAACATCAGATGTTGATAAGACATTGGTCTATGAAAAATGTAGGGCGACAGTATAGGAATTTGGTTTATGTTTTGTCCCTCACCAACCTTGTGGACAGCCTGATCAGATGCAAGCATTGTTTCCATGTCAGAGAGTGTCTTCTTTTCGATTCCTGATCGCAGGCATCCTGTCTTCTTACTGGTATTGGCATCCATGAAATATACTTGCCTGCGACTGTAAAGGAAACTGGTTGTAGCATAAAAGAGACAAAAGTGTCAATGTAATTGGTTTTGACCGACTGGCAACAAATAGGATTCAAAAACTGGAAAGGATTCTGTCAAACTAAATGTACATGTGCATTATCTCCTGGACTGGGACTGTATAAGATCTGATCATGAGTGCACTAGCTGGAGTTGATTCGAACCGATACTTGTATTTCTGGTCGGCTAGAGGTGCCACCCGAATGACAGACTTGATTGTAACAATCAGAGGCAGATGAGCCTCAGCTGTCGAGGCGTTCTCTAAGAAGTTCGGTATATCATATCCACGATACCGAACAGTTGCCTTGGCGCCACTGTCAGTGACTTTAACATGTGAGGTTGTTGATTCATACAATTCACAGATCGATATTCTATTCTACAAAATGTACCTCACATCCTGAACGACCATGTGAAATTCTTTGAGCCTACTGCGAATTGTTGTGGGAACACTGAGACGCCTAATGCATACAGTGATGTCTATAAGCAACACAAGAGTTTGTCATTCAAAAGCCTAAGTTCATTTTATTATATCAAACAGATATAGATATAGTTAATGTACCTGTATGATAGTCGATGGTGTCTGTCTGAAGTGGTACCATCGAAAAAGCCATCCCAATGTCCCAGCCAGTGGGCAAGCGCGGCTCATCTGGGTCCTCCTCAATCCTGGTGATTTTGTGATCAGCGGTTATGTGCACTCTTAACTCTCCTGCAATGATCTTTGGATTTTCTCTTGTTGGTATTGCTTCAACCGAATCAAACCGATAAAGGTTGCCGACTTGTATTTTCCGAGAAATCTCGTTGATGTCTTTTTCATCTACCATTGACTCGATTAGTCATGCCTATAAGATAAGCAGTTAAACGGTTCCAAATCATGTATTTTAGCAGTTTAAAATTGTTGACGAAGAGATTATCTAATGCTGTAAGTGAAATGGAAAAACCTTTTTATCTATCCAGATCATGTGCATGCTCAGATTTTTAAGCTTAGGCGCCTCTCGATACTCGAGCCATGCCATCACAGGCCTAGCAATTACTATGCGGACGTTTGTGCCCAGACGCAGCCCTCGAAATGGCATGCAAGTTTCGATCGGATCTATAATAAGACAGTATAGGGAAATGAAACTCATATTTTATCTTTGGAGCAGACGATTCGAGATACCTAGTAGTATTCTTTAACAAAAATGGAAAGCATTCACCTTTGTTGTCGGTGGGGACCATGTGAGCGACCTCCGTTGACTGCTGGTTTTTGGGCAAACCTTCCATGTATTGTGGGGATTTACGCAAACAACGTGGATGATGATTAGAAGTTAATACCCAAATGTGAAAACGGTGAGAAAGAGGAGGACGTGGAGTTACCTTTGTTTTAAAGGTTGTCGTGTAGTTCAGTGGTGGGGTTTCGCGGCGGAGCAAAGTGTTTGTAAATGTGGACGGCGGATCTGGTTGATGAAGACAGTTAGGGTTTGTAAAGGAAGCAGTGATTTTGGGCCAGTTTTCCATGGGCTTTTGTCTGCAATCCTAAAGCATGTTCGGGGTGGGCTCAATATCATCCATTACTATCAAAACGTAACAGAACGTGGGCTCGGTTTTAGTAAGCGTTTAAGGCCAAAGAATTCAAGACGCAAACAATGTCTCCTTTTAATTTCGATCAAAGGATCATAAAAAATTATTCTATTGTGTCGTTCTGCAAGAACAGGAAGAACATGAAGAACCTGCCCATAATTCAAAACGCAAACTATCTCTCCTACAAAATATTTTGGTAAATACAATATTAAAGGCAGAAAGTAGTTCTCCATGTGTCCAATCAGGCACTTCATGATCAAAACAAAACATTGACCTCTCTAAACATTGAGGTACCAACACCAGGGACTTCCATATGTACAGAGCAGAATAACCAGCACCTTGCAAACTGTCAAAATGAGTACATCGGGGAATTTTCAAAATACCAGAGTAGTCAGGAGAAAACATTAAGTTCTTTTTACAGAAAACAGAGTATTATGTCCTGAATAGATAACATACAGAATTAAAAAGAAGCTGTCCCGACAAACTAAGTTCCAAGTAGAACACTTTCATATCACACAAAAGCCTCAGGGTTCCAGATTGAAGCAATTCGGATTGCAGGAGGAATTTCTGAAGTCCCAGGAGCAACATAAGCTTCAGCCATAAAAGGCACATGACACCTGTCCTGAATGCACTGATATCCATCTTTATACGTCAGACTGAAAAGTTCCTCGGGTGAAACCCAAACCAAGGCCAACACAGCTTCATGATCAAACACAACATCAACATCTTTTCCCTCGCACTGACATGTTGCTTGTAATTCATACCGTACCCTGAATTAAACAATAAAAGGAATGTTTTGATCTTCCTGAAATGCAATGGGAAACATATTATGAGTAAA